AAAAGCAGCCGGATGAATTGTGAAGTGTTTTGGGGCAATATTATCTGCTCATATTCAGCCAAATGCTTCAGAACTCATTGGACGCCGCTTCACAGTGCAGATGGACAATGACCCAAAGCATACTGCAAAAGCAACCAAAGAGTTTTTTAAGGGAAAGAAGTGGAATGTTATGCAATGGCCAAGTCAATCACCTGACCTGAATCCGATTGAGCATGCATTTCACTTGCTGAAGACAAAACTGAAGGGAAAATGCCCCAAGAACAAGCAGGAACTGTAGGCAGTTGCAGTAGAGGCCTGGCAGAGCATCACCAGGGATGAAACCCAGCATCTGGTGATGTCTATGCGTTCCAGACTTCAGGCTGTAATTGACTGCAAAGGATTTACAACCAAGTATTAAAAAGTGAAAGTTTGATTTATGATTATTATTCTGTCCCATTACTTTTGGTCCCTTAACAAGTGGGAGGCATATATGCAAACTGTTGTAATTCCTACACCGTCCACCTGATTTGGATGTAAATACCCTCAAATTAAAGCTGACAGTCTGCAGTTAAAGCACGTCTTGTTTGTTTCATTTCAAATCCATTGTGGTGGTGTATAGAGCCAAAAATGTTAGAATTGTGTCGATGTCCCAATATTTATGGACCTGACTGTACCTTGTGATGTCTGTAGATCTTAGAGAATGCTCATATCTGCAGAACAGATTCAGGTGCCCTCAGGGCAGTAAATGATGTGACCTGCAAGGCTTTGCTGAGTTAGCCAATAAAGAAAGAACTTTTCAGAAAGATAGGGTCAGCAACTGCTTATCATGTGGTGGAGCAGTAGTTATTGGGGCAAGTCTTCCACCCTTTCTGATAAATCTTTATCCTGAGAGCTTTCAACTAGTGAGCACTTGTCTGCCCTCGTGATGGCAGCTATTCTCAACCTTTTTTTTTTTTATCACGGAGGAACCCTCAAACAAACTTTTTGGTCTTGGTAACCCTTGTAATAATTACTAGGTCTAAAGCTTGAGGTATATTAGTGTAATGCTCAGTGGAAAAAATGCTCCTTACATTTGTGGTCACTGGGAAGAATCTGCCTCTTCCATATAGTTAAAAAGATCATTGGGTTAGTGGGAACTCATCTGAGAGGTAGACATTACTCATTCACAGTAGGCACCCCCAACAACCTCTGAAGGAACCTTAGGGTTTCATGGAACCCTGGTTGAGAAAGAAATATATGAGGTATGAGATATGAGATGTCTGGGTAGCTTGATACACTAAGGGTCTATTTAATAAAAACATTGCTTTCTGAGTGCCTAATCATTGTCTTGCTTTTTCCAATAAAAAAAAGTGCTAAAATTATGTCCTTAAATTGGCATATTGGAAGCAAGCTAAAAATGCCAAGTTGCTAAGTTGTAAAAAAAATCATTAAAACTAATGTAGCTCCCTCTAGGTAGCTATTTTTGTAGTTAGAAACTGGGTAGCAGCCTGGGATGAGTCAGCGTGGGAGTGAGGTAGCGATTACACCTTAGCACAGGCTGAGAGGCTCCACAGGTCAGGGCTTCTGGAGCCCTCCCACCCTTCCAGAAATTCACAGAATTTTCTGTAAGAGGAGCGGAGGAGGGGAGGAGACCCAAATCTTCATGTTTGAAGGACCTTGGCCAATCCGTAGGCAGGAGGCCTGGAGTGGTGATTAAGGACAATCCTAAATGTGGCAGAGTCTGAGCAGCACGGGAGTCAGGTGGAAGATGGATTGAGAGAAGGCTGGAGTGTGGAGTCTGGGAGGGGGCCCCAGGGAGGGAGGCTTGCCCACAGGCAGGATGCTGAACGGAGGCTCTCCACTGCCCAAGGTCTCTTAGGGAGGACATTCTGAGCAGCAGGGAAAGAGCCAGCCCAGAGAAAAGCCTGAAAGCAGCTACCAACCCACTACACTGACAGCACTGGACAGTGTGAGTACTCCTACACCCCCTGGGCCATATAAAGGGAGACAGTGGTCAGATGGAAGACCCAGCTAATTCTCATCTGGGACTACTTAATTGCTAGATCTTGGAATCCCTTGCCCAGGGGCACCTCTGGGGTTTGAGGAGGTACACCAAGGGGACCTTAGAGCTCCTTAAAGAGACAGTGCTTTATTTTGCAGATCCACATCTTTTTGTACAGTGTATAGGTTGCTAAGAAATTGTCCTCGAGTTTGCAATTCCTTGGGAATCCCATATACCACTTGACCCCATCCAAGTTGTTAACCCCATTAAAAAAACTGCTAAAAACCAGCTCAAAGACTGTTTACTGACTCCAAGTGTGCAAGTATGGAAAATTTGTGTTACCTTACTGTGCAGAGCTTAGGAGGACCAAAACAAATCCATAGGCCCTCAAGAGTAGGGTTGCCTCCTCATCCCTTTAAAACTGAACACATATTAATTACACAGGTTCTTAGGCTAATTTAATGCATTTAAGGCACTAAGTGAGTTTAATTACCACTTTAATCAGCCACAGAAGCTGTGTAAATAATATGTGTTCAACTTTAAAGGGATGAGGTGGCAACCCTACTCGAGAGGACAGTGCTACAATAAGTAGATGCAAATCAGTAGGACATATGCTGACAACACACACTGCCTTCCAGTCAGAGATGATACCATTATGTATAGTTGCCATGCATAGTTGCATTATGTATAGTTGGAGATTACATTTCTTTTACTCCAGAAGTAAAGAGTGCCCCCTTGTCCTCTGTGATGACCTCAGGGTGAATAGCTCTACACCGAGTTCACTATATGAACCACTGATGTATTTATACATGTTGATCATATCCCCCCTTAATCTCCTCTTCTCAAGAGAGAATAAATTCAGTTCCTCTAATCTTTCCTCATAGCTGAGCTCCTCCATGCCTCTTATCCGTTTGGTTGCCCTTCTCTGTATTTTCTCCAGTTCCCCAATGTTCTTTTTGTGAATTGGTGCCCAAAACTGAACTGCATATTCCAGATGAGGTATTAATAATGATATGTACAGGGTAATATGATATCTCTCTCTCTGGAGTCTATACCTCTTTAATACAAGAGAGGATTTTGCTCGCTTTAGAAACTGCAGCTTGGCATTGCATGCCATTATTAAGCTTGTGATCTACCAGAACTCCCAGATCCTTCTCCACCATTGAATCCCCCAATTGTACTCCCCCTAGTATGTATGATGCATGCATATTCTTAGCCCCCACGTGCATAACCTTACATTTATCAACATTAAACCTCATTTGCCACATAGTTGCCCAATTAAACAATGCATTGAGGTCAGCTTGTAAATTAGAGACATCCTGTAAGGATGTTATTCCACTGCACAGCTTGGTGTCATCTGCAAAGACTGAAATGGGATTTTTAATCCCAGAACCTATATTGTTTATAAATATATTAAAAAGTAAGGGTCCCAACACTGAACCTTGGGGTCCACCACTGACAACCCTAGACCATGCAGAGTATGAATCATTAACCACTACTCTTTGAATACGATCTTTTAGCCAGTTTTCTATCCATTTACATATGGATTTTTCCAAGCCTGTAGACTTTACCTTACACATTAGCTGTGTGTGGGGAACTGTGTCAAATGCTTTTGCAAAATCCAAGTATACCACGTCCACCGCCACCCCTCTGTCCAAGGTTTTGCTCACCTCCTCATAAAAATAAATCAGATTTGTTTGACAACTTCTGTCTTTCATGAATCCATGCTGTCTGTTGCTTAAAATATTTTTTTTCCAGCAAGAACTCATCTATGTGGTCTTTTATTAAACTCTCCAGTATCTTCCCAACTATAGAAGTTAAACTAACAGCTCTATAATTACTTGTTGAATCTTAGTTTATTAAAGTTATCAAATACAACCTGTTTGTCTTTTGATAAATGGAGGCTCATGCACACATGCCCCAGGTGTTTGCCCAACGACAGAACACTTTCTCTAATTTTGCTTCCCAGTTAGCTCTTTGCAAGGTCTCATTCAGATGGGTGGCTAGGGGGCAGGAAAAGCAGTCCTAATTTTACTGTACCTGAATTGGCAAAATACAGGCAGACATGCTGCACACATGTATACATGCCACAGCATTTTTAACTTGGGGTGCAGAGTTTAACAGGTGCCAGTGCCTGTCAAACTCACTCTTTGAGTGCCACACCACACCAGGGGCCACACCATGACTGCAAGACAACCACTCTGCTGGCAGCTGTGGTGAGATCCTGCAATGTAAAATTGATGTTCAGCAACTTAAAAACAAAAATTAAAAATAGGGCGTTCTGGGCCTAGTGCGGTAGAGCTTACTGTGAATGTGAAAGAGACCTTAAAGTATGATTCAACACAAGAAAAATGTTTTTTATTATTTTGCAGCTTACCAATTTTTAGATGTGGTAGCTGCATTCGTTTTCATTTATAGGCTTTCTTTCTTCTATTTTCATCCAGTGATCCAGCCAGTAAGTCTGATGTTTTTCAAAACTACAAGCTCACTCGCAGATCTATTAGTTTTACAGCAATGAAGCAAACCATTTAACACTGAGAGGGGTGCTTACAATGGTCAGCTTTTATTTATTTATGTAAAACCCCTATCCTGAAAGGAAAAAAAATAAAAAATTGTTTGCTGTGACTGCTTTTAAAGTGTTAGCTGGAGTTTGGCTTCAATTTGTTAGTGTATTTACATCTGCTAGTGCATCTATACACCCCTCCCCCAGATTACAATGCTGCTGTCCAAAGGTGTCTCTGTGTAGGCACTCTCAAATACAGAAGGTGTGTTTACTGATCAACAGGTAAAAGCAGGCCTAAAAAAAAGAAAATGAATGCAGCCACCACATCTAATGATTGGTAAGCTGCAATATATTACATTTTTGGTTTAGGATTTAATACCGCTTTAAGAACTACCATTACCAAAAGCAGAAATCGTCTCCAGCATGTCTTCATTATTTTCTTCCTTCACAAAGGAAAGAAGCCATCACAAGCCAATGTTTTGGGGACCGCACAAAGTGCCAAAGGGATGATCTGTATAGTTTTTTACTTACACTCACCATTCAGTAGTTCTCTCGGGTATGAATGATTTCTTCTGGTAAGAGGCTGGGGGAGCCAGCGACCAGGTCCTCCTGAACCTGGACTGGTTCCTGTGGTGAAAAAGAACAGAAACATATCATATGTTTGTAAATATGTAGGGATCTACATGAATTTATGCTCTAAATACGCTGCCAAAAGATGTCAGAAAAAAATGTCTCTAGTGATTCATATGTATGCGTGTTTATGTGCTTATGTATGCACATTTACATGCGTATGGCGGTTAGAAGAGTATAAGCCTAAATTCATTCTGTTGACTAGAATATTAATTTATTCTAGCCACTAAAATACATTTACGGGCATATGTGTATGGGCAGCACAGTGGCTAAATGGTTAGCACTTCTGCCTGGCAGTACTAGGGTCGTTGGTTCAAATCCCAACCACGGCACCACCTGCCTGGAGTTTGCATGTTCTCCCTGTGCCTGCATGGGTTTCCTCCAAGTACTCCGGTTTCCTCCCACACTCCAAAAGACATACTGGTAGGTGAATTGGATCCTGTCTAAATTGGCCCTAGTATGTGTATGTATGAATGAGAGTTAGGGACCATAGATTGTATGCCCCTGAGGGTTAGGGACTGATGTGACTGTACTATATTAACTGTAAAGCGCTGCGTAAATTGACGGCGCTATATAAGCAGTAGAGATTTTGTGTGTGCTAGATGTAGTTAGGCTGTAGTCAGGCTGAGCTTTGCTTACATTTTGGCACTCCAGGTATTCCTAGCTCAGGCCTTGGATTACTTCTGCCTGTTACTGCGTAGGAGGCTCCAGTAATCAGTGTGGGAAGGGTCAGCGGCTGAAACATGAATATTTATCCTCACCAGCCAATCAGGAGCCTGCTCAGTGGCATGAGCTGGGTGAGAGTAAATATTTGGAACAACCTTCCAGAGTGTTTTTCTTCTTCACCCCCAGGACCCTGCCCCTGGGGGAGCCATGTTTTAGATATTCCTGGGTTGTTGAATATGTTCAGCGTAAGCTGTGCAAAAGCTGCATGTGGGGTATTGAAGAAACCTTCTGGAAACGAAAGCACACGTGGTTGCCGACATGAAATAAGTGGAACTGAACTGGAAATATGGAGAAGGCACACACACGAATCTTCAGTTCCCCATAAAACCGATGACTTTAAAGCCAATCACCAGCTCTAAAAATTCATACAGGAACAGCCATGAGCTTTCTTTAACCCCTTGAAAGCCAGAATGTTTACAAATGTATCTTAGTAAACAAGAGGTTAAAGCTATAAATGTAATGCGTTCCCACCCAGCATTGGCATCCTTATGCCTGGAGATCAGGAAGGATCATAAGACAGCTGTGACAATATTTTACATTACATGCTTTGGAGAATACCTATAAACTGTATGTGGTGTTGGAGAACAGTAAGGCTGGGATTAAAAAGGTTATGCCTCTGAAAAGCAATCTGCAGTAGGTTGCTTTTCAGATACATTTGACAATGAGGAGACGATATGACACCTCCTCACTGCCTGTTTTAACCCCGTCAATGCTGCACCACTGCACTGCATTACACAAATTTGCAGTGTGGTTGCAGCGCAGACCCATTTGCTTGAAGGGGTTGCATTCCACAGCAGTACTGCCCTTGTGTACACCCCAGAATGTTTCACGGTTCCTTTGCGGTGGTTCTAGAGCCCGAGAAAGGAGGAATAAAGACGAGTAGAGTGGGAAAGTAACTGGGAAAAGAAATAGAGGGCAAGAGGTAGGGTTATGTGGGGTGAAGTCACAGTGAGAGAGAGGATTTACTCTTAAGTGCTCACGAAGAGCAAATTGTTCCATAAAATAAAGGTGCATATCTGTAGATAAGTATATTAGCTCATGCTAGAGTCTTGAATTCATCAGTGCCCATGTTGTAGAGGTCCATAAGGTCCACTTGGTTCAAAAAGAATTGTATCTGTCATATTGTTGGGCAGTCAGTTCATCCATCTCCATTCCCTAATCGTGAGGGCTGTGGCCCAGTGTCTAGGAACGTAGGCTTTAGTTGAGCAGATAAAGAAATAATTTCTTGGCAGCTGAAATTGATCTGGGAAAAATCGAAAGGCGTGCAATTTCTGGGGTCAATTTAAGTGTGTTTGATGTGATCCTAATGTTTATCTGAGTTACTCTTTTCCAACTGCTTAATTAATATGTAGCTCTACTAGGGATGTGTAAGACCTCTTGCAAACAATGCCAACATAGGTTTGAACTTGATGCTGTCTATGAGGGGATCTGTACCATTGGGTCAAAAGTTTGAAATTCCACACTTGAACTGTGCTAACTATACATAGTGTGTGGGTAAGATTAAAGCATGTTAATTTAGCTTCTTCTGTAAGAGATGTATTTAATTCCCTTTCAGATTGATATAGTCAATCTTATATAGTGTCTTACTCACTAAAATACAGAAGGATAGGGTATAATAGGGGACATCTCCTGACAGACATATTTGTTCAAAAGGAGTTTGAGTGCAGTATAACTGCTTATGGCTTGAGATATTTCTGACAGAGTGGGTAAGCTGTAAGTACCAAAACCATGCACCCCTGGGTGGGTTGAAATAACTGGGAAAGGGATGGAATAACCTGTCTTTGGAGACATTGAGCAAGGTAGAAGGGTTCAGAAGAGCACCATGTAAAGAGGATGTTCCCCTGAGGAAAGAAGGGAAAACTGGAATGCCTAAGATAGAATTTAGGAGTCCATAATAATAAGAAAGTTAGAAAGTGGTTATGGCCAATCTCCACGCTTTATGTATTGATGAAAAGTAAAAAGATAGAGCTGAGGGTGTGGGCCAAGGAGAGGGTGGTGTCCGTGGGATAGCTGTTAAAGGGATGAGAGAGATGTCCCCTTCTATTAATACCCATAGTCTATAATTGCCAAGTCAAACCAATCAAGAATATGTACAAGATGGGTTGTTTTGTAGTACAGTTCACTGTCACAGGACTTCATGGGTGGGGCTATTTCTGTGATGTCACTTCCAGTGCCTGGAGAGCATGGCCATCTTGGATCTTCCAGTGCTCAGCATAAAGGAGTACACCCCTTTTGAAAAGTAAGATTTACTCAATATCTCAATGAACACAAGAACAATTTCCAAAATTTTGACAAAACTGAGTTTTATACATTTACCTTAGCTCATTACATGAAAGTAAGATTAGTATTATAACGTAGATTACAAAATCTTCAGTTTTACTCAAATTAGTTGATATGGAAAGGAAAGGAAAGGGTTTCTGACAAATCTGTTGGGGTGTACTCATTTATGCTGAGCACTGTAGGTGCAGGGTTGGTATTAGAATTGTTTTACATTTTATATCATTCATAGTGGCTCTTTCTTGTCAAGCCAACAGTCTATTGCATTTATAACTATATTAGTAAAAAAACACTGGTAAAACACTCTTATCCTGGTCCCTAAATGATAAAGTTTTCATGTGTAGTAGTTTTTGTATGTCAACTCGTATTTTAGTTAAATCCTGGAATGTAGTCAGTGACGGATCCTATTTGTAAGAGAACTCCTTCTCTTCTGGCAACTGCAAGAATGTGGCAAAGTTGCTCCTTTCTTTTAAATTTGAGTACTGTGTTTAATTAAGATGCCTCATAATACTGCTTTAAGGGCTTCCCATTTCACTGGCTCTGAGGTGAGGTCTAACACATGGTGCACAAAAAAGATGTGGTGAGCAGATTAAATGTCTACTTGGCACACTACAACTAACACTAAATTCGTATGGTGTTTCCAAGTTAAACTGTTATTAAACCCAGGACCCTACGTTCACTCTCTCTGGCCTCCCACAGTACACAGAACATGGAAATGCAATTATTTCAGTATATATAAACTGCTAAATACCTTTTTTCATCAGCAGTATATAGCAGTCTAGTGATTTCTATCAGTGTCCAGCAGAGCACATGTGAAAATTTTAGGAGGAGTTTTCTTTCTGCTCCAGGAGGATGCAAAACGCCTGACCTCTGTCTGGACAGTGCTGATTGGACCTGTGCTGATCACATGCACTCTCCCAAGAAAAAAAAAAACCTCTCTAGCAATACACACTAAACTGAGCGTGAGCAGAGTGTCTCCACACGATGTCTTATAAGGTGATAAGAGGGGGACACTGGAAGTAGGGGAGGATCAGAGAAGTCAGGAACAAACAGGATCAGGATCAAACAGCCTTTTTATACAATGCAGAGGATTAACCCCTTAGGTTCCACAGTGAGTATAATAAGTATGCTTTACTGCATATACAGACTGATTTTACGGTTGTGGGTTTAATGACACTTTAAAGATGATTTAGAGGTTTAGAGGTTTATTATGTGAGGAAGGTTAGAGCGTGGTCTGACCATATCTGATTCCAGATTTTGATAAAAGGGTCCAGGACAATGCTTTGACGGTTAAATAAGAAAAATGGCAATTCTGCTATAGGAATTATCAGCTGTATTGTAGAATGTGTAATCTCTAGCCTGAGCATTTTGAACACACTATATATTGACTAATTGTGTGTTTTTTCAGTTTAGTCAATAAGGATAGGGAAAGCTCAGGTATGCCTGAAGTACGGTAATATCCAATACAGGATCTAGGATAAGATTAAATTCCCCCTCTGGAATCACTGTGCCCTCTGCAAATTCTGCTAGTTGGGATAGAACGGGCAATGAGTAGGAACATGCATTCGGTTAGGGAGGTATATGTTGGCCAAAGTGATTTATCTTATGAAATATGGAACCTTTAAGAAAAACATATCTTCCATTTGGATTGGTTTGCTGTGTGATTATATCACAGGGTAGAGGGGAATGATGTCCATTAGCCATTCCCCTTGATTTTTTATTAGGCTTGAAGCTGAGTATCCATTTGGGAAAGTATTGTGATAAAAGGAGGGGGTTTTTATCAACTTAAAAGTGGGTCTCCTGGTGAAAAAAGGTTTGAATTTTCGGTGTTTGCATATTTTATAATATTTGTGATGTTTTGGGGGGGGGGGGGGAGTTTAAGCCCCTAGCATTTAAAGAGCTGATTTGTAGCTCAGCCATAGGGAATATACTGTAAGTTGGTTTGAGCACCATTGTACAAGTTGAAGCCAACATGGGCAAGTGTTAAACCCAACACTG